TACATAGCCTGACCGGTGTATAAGTGTCTACACTAGGCGATACAGGGGAGTTGATTATGTGAGTAGATATCCTGACCAGTGTATAAGTCTCTACACTAGGCGATACAGGGGAGTTGATGATGTGAGTACATATCCTGACCAGTGTATAAGTCTCTACACTAGGCGATACAGGGGAGTTGATGCTGTGGGTAAATATCCTGACCAGTGTATAAGTCTCTACACTGGGCGATACAGGGGAGTTGATGATGTGAGTCCATATCCTGACCGGTGTATAAGTGTCTACACTAGGCGGTACAGGGGAGTTGATGATGTGAGTAGATATCCTGACCAGTGTATAAGTCTCTACACTAGGCGATACAGGGGACTTGATAATGTGAGTACATATGCTGACCAGTGTATAAGTGTCTACACTAGGCGATACAGGGGAGTTTATGATGTGAGTACATATCCTGACCAGTGTATAAGTCTCTACACTAGGCAATACAGGGGAGTTGATGATGTGAGTACATATCCTGACCAGTGTATAAGTGTCTACACTAGGCGATACAGGGGAGTTGATGCTGTGAGTACATATCCTGACCAGTGTATAAGTGTCTACACTAGGCGGTACAGGGGAGTTGATGCTGTGAGTAGATATCCTGACCGGTGTATAAGTGTCTACACTTGGCGGCACAGGGGAGTTGATGATGTGAGTACATATCCTGACCAGTGTATAAGTCTCTACACTAGGCGGTACAGGGGAGTTGATGCTGTGGGTAAATATCCTGACCAGTGTATAAGTGTCTACACTAGGCGGTGCAGGGGAGTTGATGCTGTGAGTAGATTTCCGGACCGGTATATAAGTGCCCACACTAAGCAAATTGTCACGATACAACTCAGATGTGATATTTAGCGTAATATGAAAAACATCTGGCCGCCGTCGCCTCCGACTGACAGATGTAAGTTTTTGCATAGTTTTCATCAATGGCGAAAAAATATGGAACATCGCTTATTGGTTCTTCAAATCTGGCGGGCACTCTCGCGTGATAAAACATCAACATTATCCAAGTTCATATGTATCATACTTCATGGAGTCAACTAATATTTGACATTTTTTGGGGAATTGTCATTTCTGTGATAACTCTAAGAAGAATTTGGTCAATATTATTGATCAAATGTTGAACCAGTTTCAAAAGTTGAAGAGTAAGATTGAAAATTCATGACAGTTGCTTGCTTAGTCAGAAAGGCTGACCCTACTAGCTTTTGAAATAGGAATTCTTTCCACAAACACTCTTTGAAAATGTCAAGAGTGGAAAGCACCTAAACCACCTTTATGTTACTTTTACGACAAACATGGGTTGCTGAAAACCAATTCTACCCCCGATCTTCACGGGTATAAACATGAGTTTAGACTTTGAGTTCGTTCGCAGATTGTGTGTGACACGGGAACGGGTTTCAGTGGAATCATACAAATTGATCAAATGAAAAGTGCGATAAAAGAAAACGATGCTTTGTGAGATTTTGTTACCTGTGTTCAACAGACCATAAAAATGATGGGACATTTTTAGTTAGTGTTCAGCTATTGGATTTATTAGGATCTTCTCCATTCGCCACCTCTTATGTTTAGAATTAGGAGTGAGTGAGTTTATGCTCAACGTCACATCAGCAATATTTCAGCCATATCATGACGAGTTAGCATTAGGAGTGCGATTTGGCATTCTAAATGGTACTTACATGATTGCTGCTTAAATTATATAATAAACAATATATTACACTATAACTTGCAGCAAGTGTCCAACCTGTAGTGGTCAATGTTTCGTGTAGATTCCCAAATTAACCCTTTCCCCCCGTCACGAGATGAGAGAAACATGATATTTCACTCGACATATGAAATATCCTATTTATTATATACTTTTGGTGTAGTTGTCTGCAGGAAGATTAAATTACTTCATTACAAATGTAAAACCTTCAAGCGTAAATTCTCCCTACATAACACACATGGACGGTTTTCCACCCCCTGTAAGTACGACTAAACCTGTAGTTCCGTCTTTGCTAAATCTTAAAAACATATAAACAAAAGTAACCAAAAATATTTGATGTCACTAAAATTCTTTAGTATACATTTTGATATGATTATATACAAAATCAACTTCATCAAAAAATAAATTTCAAATCAATGAGACGGTTGTTCGAAGCGAAAGAAAACACGCAATTCAAGTAACAAAATGGCGCTTTGCGAAACGTAAAGTATCGACTGACAAATCAGAAGAGAAATTCACAGTTTAATACAAATCATTTTCAACAAAATAACAAACGGTAAGAATCAGTATTAATTACATAAATGACCATCTGTCATTATATGACTTGTCAACGTAAAGGAACTCAGAGTGAAACCACCAAACAATCAACAAATGTGTAAAATAAATCACTAGATTTTCAGTATTTACTGATTTAGGATCCTGAACTAGAAATAAAGGAGGCCAGTGAGACCGCCTCATCAGATTCATATTTCGATCTATGCATAAAGATTCAGCGTGACAAAAGACTTTCCACAAGACTGCAGGACAAGAGGGATGACGTCAACTTTTCCTTCATGACGATCAGTATTCCAGCAGCTCCAGATACAATCGGTCATGCTCTTTCTACCAAGATTTCAAAGACTTTTCCCTATTTTGAATTTGTTTCCGTGTTGTTGTTTTTTTCAGGTGAACAATTGCCATGTCTTTGCATGTGTTTGTGAGGGATGCCATCGGTGGGGCAGTGTACGCTCACCTTTTAGCGAAATCTGATATCATAACCATTTGATAGTGAGTCATAAACACATGCTGATGAAATTGTCTGAATCACCCAAGTACAGTACACCATTCAATGATATGATGGCAGTGGTCAGTATCAAACACCACAATACAGTGGTGATAGCAAAAGTCAGTGATTATAGTATATTCACTCAGAGGGGACAGTGGTCAAGCTTCCGAGATGGCCGAGCTGGTCTTGATGTAGAGATGTGTGTCTTCTTACTAACTAGCTACAGGAACTTTCTACACAGTGCCCTCACCAGTCTAGCCTCACTAGAACATTACGGAATGTTCCACATCAGTCCACGGTTTAACGGAATTTACTCTTCACACTTACATCTTGATATAGTCACTTCCTCAAAACTGCCTACATTCAACAGTCTACATTCGTGACAACTAATTAACGTCCAAGCACAATGCAATGAGCGTCTGTCGAATCTCAACAGAATTAATGTAAGACCGTTACAATCATTGTTCAGCAGAAAAATACACCATATAACACCATTAATAAAAAAAACGAATTTTCCTCAATCATTCGGTCTGTTTTTATTCAGTACGGAGTTGTAACTAAAACAGGACAGACTGGTAACCAGTAACGACAGCCGTGTTACTAGTCATGACACAAAAAAACCAGAGTTTTTGTCACCTAGGGCGGCGATCTCAACCCCTATTAGCAAAGAGACCAACCCTTGCTCGAGTATCTAGTAATCCAGCACACTACACTGGTCAGTTATTGTTTGTCAAAACACTGATACTACCACAACACCTAGAAAATTAAGTTCAAGTGGCAAGCATTGTCGTCTCTGCCTATCACTCTCAACCATGACCAGGCTTCGCAATAGCCGTTGAGGTAGTGATAACTGTCACACCTGATTTGTCTGAATAGAACGACTGACAAGAAGTCAGCTGAGATTTGGAATGGAAATTAGATATAAAAAATCAGCTACAGGTGCAAAATGTTCAATTTTGTCAAGGCCTTGACTACCCCCCACATCTACCCCCAAATAGCAACAGTCTATGCCGTGAACAATTATTGATACCAAAGAATGAATCTATATCACACATTTGACTTTACGAAAACCCTAAAATATTTACTTAAATACCGCATAATCAATATTTAGATAATAATGTATTTTATAATAAAATAACGTTGAGTGATTTTGTCAGGGGATCCGATTAATTGAGTGAGTGAGTATGGTTTTAAGCCGCTTTTAGCAATATTCCAGTGATATCACGGAGGGGGACACCAGTAATAGGCTTCACACATTGTACCCATGTCGGAAATCGAACCCGGGTCTTCGGCGTCACATGCAGACGCTTTAACCACTAGGCTACCCGACCGCCCCTCCGATTAACTGAAGCAATGATGAAAACATCACAACACTCACATATCTAGTTTTCTTCAGATGATGTATCCCCATGCATGCTTCTCCTCTTAATTTAATCAGTTTTCCTCGTCTTGGCATCTGGAACAAATGCTGTATCTTGTTTTCATTGTATTTACTGTCTTACTTACTACATGGTTTACATGAGAATTTCTATGTTTACATGCCACCATAGATTTCAATTTTTGCTTGTAAACAATTGTCATATGCTCTCAAACATATAATTGTAAAGGAAATGTTAATGAAGGTTGAATACAGAAAAGCACCGTGACTTCTAACTCTGAGGCACACTATAGTAATAAATTAAGTAAGTGGAATAAGGTTATACACAGTTTTAATTGTTTTAACTCGTACCACGTACGAGTCTCATACATGTGAGAGTTGAAAGCGCCAGCCAATGAAGAATGTGTTCAATCTTATTCCACCTATTTAAGTATTACCATATATATAAATGGTTGCGGTTTGGAAATGGTAATTCAAGGAACAAATAGAAAATGACAGTAGTGCTGGGTATTAAAAACAACACACTACTTCAAAAATTTACGTGTTCTTTACATACACTAATTTTTGCTCCATAGATATGACATAAGTCATACTGGTTTTGTAAATTGTATGTCATGAGCGCTAGAGAAAAAAAAAATAACATTGAGCGGTAGCAACCGTCACTCCTCAACGGGTTCCTAACACTTACGTGTCTGTTTGTTGTCTGACGACGCACAGAGACGGCTATCTGAAAAGAAACAGTACAAAAGAAATGTTCATTTTTACTTTTCTATTTATACTGCTTACGGTATTACGCCATTTACAAAACAATATTCTCCAGGTATACGGTCATAAATAGATCTACGTCAATATGTAATAGTCTGTAAGCGATTGAGAGTCTCATACCACGAAGCGTTCACCAACTGACATCAAGGTAGGTTAACTTGGTTGTCAAACTGCGCCATCATAGTTACATCTCAATCGTCCTTAATACCTATACACTCACATTTAATCTATACGTACCTTGTGCACATTATGAAAGACTTCATATAACGTAAAATACCATCATTATGACTTTCAAAACCGGATTCTGTTAACCATGCTTGACAACTGACCAGCAACGTGTGTTCTTAATCGAATTACTCAGTTTGTCATGATCAGCAGCAAGAATGTAATGTTGGTGTATGTTTGGGGAACTTGTGCAGTTATATTGATCATCATACTTTGTTTGACTTTGTTACAATATGTCGGTCAAATAGGAGTAAAAAACACTAAACCTCTCGGTTGATTTTATCATATCTTTGATTTCCATTTGAAAATATATTTCATAAATAAAACGGAACTATATTGCCGGTCAGTCTGCATTAAAAAAATAGTCCTCGTTGATTTTTGACGGATACTTTTTGTGTGAATAGAAATTCGTCCTGTCCTGTTAGAACTATGTAAAATTCATAGTATATACACATCCACAGAAGTTAAGCACCACCATATTCATAGTCACTTGATTTCACGTGTGTGAAATACAAAATATGATGATGTATGACTGAATTAGGCTTCCATAGTTTTATGAACCCAAATTTGTCCCGATACCACAAGTTTATAGTGCCCCTGCCCTATAAATAGTGAAATTCAAGTTTCACACACGTGGTTGCATTTTGCTCCTGTGTGAGATTGCCCTTCCAATAGAGGAAGAAAATCAGTCATGGTTAGGAGAAAGTTAACGAAAGCTGAAAGATGGCAAGTGATAGGCACGTAAAATGCTGGCATGTCATGCAGGGCCTTTGCAAGACAAATGGGTCGTCTTCACAGTGTTATCATTCGTTTGATTGTCAAACATGGTCAAACCAAAGATGTCAGTGACAGGCATAGGTCTGGTAGGCCAAGAAAGACCCCTAACAGAGAGGATAGACGTATTTTCAGGATAGTCAGACGACATCCATTTGCCACTTCAACAGATTTAAGATTGCATGGATTACCCATCAGAGACTCTCGACGATGACCGTAAGGCATCGCCTCAGAGTGGCTTGTTATAATACCAGAAGACCAGTAAAACGTCCTCAACTGACTGAGAGGCACATGCGGAATCGTCTGATATGGTGTCGTGCCCGTAGTCGATGGAGCTTGGCCAACTGGAGAAGGATCCATTGGTCTGACGAGTGTCGAATGCTGCTACGAACTGTTGATGGTCGAATACGTGTTTGGAGGTAACTTTCACTCGTTTTGCACCAAGGAACATCCTGAAGATGTGGCGGGGGTTCTGTCATGATATTGGGTGGTGTTTCCTTCGGCTGCCAATTGCCGCTGGTGACAATTCGTGGAAACCTGAATGGCCAACTATACAAAGATGTCGTTCTTCGTCCAGTGGAAGTCCCTCATTTTGACAACCATCCTCTTCAGACAATATCTGTTTACATGGAGGACAATGCTACACCACACAGATCTCTGGCAGTTTTGGCTTATTTGCTTCAAGAAGCTATTGCCACTCTTCCTTGCCCGGCCTGTAGTCCGGATCTTAATCCGATTGAGTATCTCGTGATCCACCAGTTCAAAATCTCGCTGGACTTGAAGCCGCACTTCATGAATAATGGATCCGTTTGCCTCAGAGAAGCATTCAACGACTTGTAATGAGTATGAGGCGTAGGGTTGAAGCTGTGGTCAATGTCCGTGGATCATACACACGTTACTGACGTTTCTGTCTTGCAATAGACTCTGCACTCCCTAGGGTGTCTATGTGACTCCTCATATGGTCTGCAGATAGCATGACAGTTACATGACAAAAAAGGTTTTACAATGTTTTCTAATCCTTCAATTTCTCGTCTTCGGTAAAATTCCTTTCTGCTGATCTTCATTTGGAACACAAGATAAACTTGCTTTGGGACAGCTTTTGCATCACATGAGGTTTACATATACGGCTTATAAAAAATGTACATCTCGTTATAATTGTCACCATTAAGTGCCAAAAGTAACAGCTCACAAATATGGTGGGTGGCCCTCAACTTTAGTCCATGTGTATAAATGGTAGGAAACCGAGTGATAGTATATGATATAATTGACTATTTTGTCTTCCTCAAACGTTTGCCAAGATATTACCGATATGACTGTACACAGTAGAACAGAATCTGATCATTTACCAATTTCATGCAAACTTCTTCACCCTTTTACATCTTGTGAAAATAGGACAGAACAGTGTTGTGATACAAGGAAAGCAACATTCCAATAGTGTGGGCAAGCAATAAAGGTCACTATTTGATGGACATTTTTTCTACACCTTAGGCAACATAGATTATCTAAACTTATGTGTTATGGGATGTTGATTCCGGAGCAGTAAGGTTTTGAAAGCTATTGAAAAGGCACCCCAGTTAACATGTCCAGAGTTTAATCACAACCCGAATGGCTTGATCGTAATAAAACAAACAGCGTGACCATAAAGTATAAAGATGTAAAAAAAATATTTCATAGATTAGAATGTGATTGCAAATTAGTTTCGTGAAATATAAAGCCTTTACTATGTAGTAAAAATGACAATCCAATGATTGACCAAATTTGCATCTATCAACGCTATTGGGATACGATGACATGCATCATCTAAGTCAGTGAGCCTAACCAGACGATACGTTTTCGCCTTCTGCGACAAGCATGGGTTGCTGAAGACCTATTCTATCACGGATCTTCACGGGTCGCGCTGTCTGGGCAGCGTGTAGAGAGGGCTGAGCTGGTGGTGACTCACTGTGCCAGGATCACACATACCCTCTTGGCTACATTTTATATTTTAATCTACTACTACAACTTTAATGATAATAATAATAATAATAATAATAATAATAATAATAATAATAATATGTGCAGTGTGTTGTACTGTTTGTCTGTAGCTGTCATGACTGGTGTATAACTGTCTACTCGAGGCAGCACAGGGAGGGGATTACTGTGTGTGGTTAACCTAACTGGTGTAAGACTGTCTACTCGAGGCGGTACATGGAGAGGGGTACTGTCAGTAGATATTCTAGACTGGAATATAGCTGCCTACTCAAGGCGGTACAGGGGGCTGGATACTGTTTGTCTAAAGCGGCCAGGACATCCTGATAGGTGTATAACTGTCTACTCGAGGCGGTACAGGGAGGGAAATACCGTCAGTCGATGTCCTGACTGGTGTATGACTGTCGAAGCAAGGCCGGGGTACTGTCTGCAGCTGTCGTGATTCGCGTATAACTGTCTACTCGAGGCGGTACAGGGAGGGGGGTACTGTTTGTCTTTAGGTGTCCTTACTGGTATATAACTGTCTACTCGAGGCGGTACGGGGAGGGGCGTACTGTTTGTCTGTAGCAGTCCTGACTCTAATATAACTCTCTATTTGAGGCGGCACAGGGAGGGTGAAACTATATGTAGGTGTCCTGACTCTAATATAACTCTCTATTCGAGGCGGTACAGAGAGGTGGATGCTGTCTGTAGCTGTCATGACTTGAGTATAACAGTCTACTCGAGGCGGTATAGGGAGAGGGATACTGTCTGTAGCTGTCCTGACTGGTGTATCACTGTTTACTCGAGGCGGCACAGGGAGGTGGATGCTGTCTTTAGCTGTCCTGACTGGTGTATCACTGTTTACTCGAGGCGGTACAGGGAGAGGGATACTGTTTGTATGTAGCTGTTATGACTTGAGTATAACTGTTTACTCGAGGCGGTACAGAGAGGTGGATACTGTATGTAGCTGTCCTCACTGGTGTATCACTGTTTACTCGAGGCGGCACAGGGAGGTGGATGCTGTCTGTAGCTGTCATGACTTGAGTATAACTGTCTACTCGAGGCGGTACAGGGAGAGGGATACTGTTTGTCTGTAGCTGTCCAGACTGGTGTATAACTGTTTACTCGAGGCGGTACAGGGAGGTGGATACTGTCAGTAGACATCCTGATAGGTGTATAACTGTTTACTCGAGGCGATACAGAGAGGTGGATACTGTCTGTAGCTGTCCTGACTGGTGTATAACTGTTTACTCAAGGCGGTACAGGGAGAGGGATACTGTTTGTATGTAGCTGTCATGACTTGAGTATAACTGTTTACTCGAGGCGGTACAGGGAGGGGGGTACTGTTTGTCTTTAGGTGTCCTGACTGGTGTATAACTGTCTACGTGAGGCGGTACAGGGAGGGTAAAAACTGTATGTAGGTGTCCTGACTGGAATATAACTCTCTTTTCGAAGCGGTACAGGGAGGTGGATACTGTCTGTAGCTGTCCTGACTGGTGTGTAACTGTCTACGTGAGGCGGTACAGGGAGGGTAAAAACTGTATGTAGGTGTCCTGACTGGAATATAAGTCTCTATTCGGCACATTTTTTGATCTCCAGCTCCATTTTTACCTGATAACATTCTCCACCTGTTGACAAGAGCTTGAAGTGAAATAAACACCCGGATCATGTCTGACAACGATACTATACACAAGAAAAGCAAAACAGGTTATGTCAAATAAGCTGTCGTTACACAAAAGCAATGATGCGTATATGCAAAGAGTATTGTATGATCACAATTTGATAGAAATGCGTGCACACATGCACATGATATAGTCGGAATCGTCCAATCAACTGCGTGTTACACAAATCTGGAAATATATTCATTAATTTATCAAAATAACCTGTGCCTTTTTCATATCCTGAGACATAAGTCAATTATCTCCCTGAAATTAATATTGATTTGTGATTGTCGAATAAAGATGAATGAATAATTGATCTACTGGCAAGATGAACAAAAAGGCTCTTTTGCGGTGGTGTCGTCACTGATTTTCAGTGGCCCCTTCACAGCTATTTCCCCCTTTACGCAAAATGGAATCTGTTTCAGCGTAATGTTCTCTTGCATTGACTATTTAAATTTATTTGCACAATGAGCGTTATTATATTGGATCTTTTGAACGAGAACAGTGAAGAGTCCATTCCAGGTAATTTTTAATTTAA